ATCAAGAATGCGTGGTGGGCCGAGAAAGCGCAGTAGTTGGAATGCTGCACCGAACGCCACCAACATAATGATGTTTTTTGTTTTATTGAAAGCAATGTTTGGACCTACATTGCAGCCAATGAGGACGCTATTTGGTGCTACTTCAGGCGCTGTCTACACATTGACGGCGAACATATTGCAGATTTGGCGAAAACAATTCCACTATCACATGAATAACACTTCAGAGATTGATCGGCCTATCTTGCACGGGCTGCAACAACTATAAATAAAGATGTGTCTTGCTGACCCAGAAACAATGCTTTGGACACAGAGGGCATTTGCTCAGCTACGAAACTGCAAGTACGTCGGAGCCGACGAGATACCGCCAGAAGTATTGGAACACGGCTGGTCCGCGTTAATAAGTGCGCTGCACCACTTGGTACAACGCGTTTGGTTGGACGAACAGGTGCTGGCTGATCTGAAGTATGCTTTGTTCTTCCATCTTAAAAGGAACATAGGGAGTTAATAATGTGCCGACTTATCTTCACGTCAGCTTGATGACGTGAACGCCCGAATCCTGCTCAACCACCTAGGCACTCAGGTCGTTGGTCCACACGTGGCGGAAGAGCGTTAGGGATTCCGTTTGTGCATCAGCATCATAGCTATGGTGTTCATAACTCGTCCGTTGCGGGATAAATGCAAAGGGCGACCCCATTCATCGCACTCGCTGTTTGTTGACTTCAGCAAAGCATTTGACACGGTGAACCGCGAGGTACTGTGGCTGGTGTAGCATAATTTTGGTTGCTTGAGAAAGTTTATTAGTCTGATTGAATGTCTACACAGTGGCATGCGGGCGAGAGTGCAGCTGATTGGACAAATCTCGGATGACTTTGCTATTGTCTTTGGTGTGAAGCAAGGCTGTTTCTTAGCCCCGACCATGTTTAACATTTGCCATCGTGAAATGTTGCTGTTTGTGATTGCGGTGTCCATGGTTCATGGTTTGTTACTGAATATCCGCCTTTTCGGAGTGACAATTCTACTGTGTGAGACAACGATCTGTAGTTGCAGTTCACTGAAGACTGTGCGTTGCTTGCACACAGCGCGGATTAGTTGCAGCACATGACTTCGGATCTTGTTGAGACAGCGGCCAAGTTCATGCTCACTATCAAAACAAGTAAGACTGTTTGTCGTTTCCAAACTTCACCAGCAATGGAGCCTGTGAGCCTGCCCCAAAATCCAAGTTGCTTATGACGTGTTGGAGACAGCATCGAAAGTTTGCTGCGTTGGGTGCGAAATACCAACCCTTCTGTTGTTGACTGGCGAGCTGTGCATCCGCGTATTTTATGCGGCTGCTGCGTTTGACAAACTGGAGAGACGTGTGTGGAAGAACCCCCAACATGCTGTTGCAACGAGGCCGATGGTATGCAATTCTACGTAATTGTCCATATTTCACACGGCAGCAAAACGCAGTCAATGTATTGCAACGACGTCCGTTATCTGGAGCGCTCCCCTCAACAGTGTCTGCGACGGATTCTGTGCACCGTTTGATGCGACAGTGTTGCAGAGACGGAAGTGCTCCACCGCATTGACATGTATTCAGTGGACTGCAAATTTCTGATGCGACACTTGAGCTGGCTAGGGCATCTGAGCCGAGTGGATTAGGCGCGGATATCCAGGGAGCTGCTATGTAAACGCAGGAAGACCGAAGTTATGTTACTAAGACAAGGTCAGTTTATCATGGACTGTTGATTTTAGGTGTTGGATATCGGAGGCCCTTGCTCGGTGTGAATGGCGTGCGCCAATCATGAGGGTCAGGTACACGAGAAAGAACTATTGTGTGCGGAGAAGAAACGTCGAGCACGGAAGCGATGGGCGCTGATGGGGTCCATCCCATGGACGTCATGCGTGTGATGTTGTACTACATGCCGTCTCGAGTGCTTGAGCAAAGCGGGTCAGGTAATTGTCTTGCGTGGCTCGCGGTGCCAGCATCCAAAAGAAGACGAACTATCGCAGCAACAGCGATAGGTAAGTACGCTGTGTCCGCTTCCGTTCGATTTACTAACTCGGGCCAATAGTGCGGCTGATGTGACACATGCGTCACATCATCCTTGTGGTTGATCTGTACGTGCGCCTGCGTGTTGAGATTCTTACATCTCGGGGGTGAGTTGTTGGTTTATATCCCCCCTGTGTCTACGCTTGACGTGAATGCTGACAAGATGCTTACCTATCTATAGCCCACCGCCTCGTCTAACTGGCTCCGGGTAGGTCGCGGTTCACCGTCCTGGTGAGCGTGCTAGGCTCAAAACGTGGTTCCATGCACCCAGTCTGGAATGGGCTACGAACAAACCATCGCCTTGTATCTATGCGTTTCCCACATTAGATAGACGGGGATGCTGTTACTATGCATGTTGAAGGAATGCGTGCGGGCTCTGTTGACGGAACGTGGCTCCTATCCTACGGGTTTACACTGGATATGGGATGTGTGTATGGAGCTGTGGGTTGTACATCGCACCCCACCCGTGGTCCGTCTGTAGGCACTGGCGTCATCTGGCTGTCCTATCGAGGCTGCAGTGGCGTGCAAATCCGAAATCGGGTGCTGCTAGGCATCCGGCCAATTGGAGAGCATAAAATCATTGACATCTTGCTTGGCCATCACCCGGTTGGGAAGCCAAGTATGAAGACTATCGACATGGTAGACGTTCGCTAGACATTCGTAGAACGGGGCCGACCCATGTGAATTATCTTAACAGGATAAGCTAACCGACGTCAAGACTCTGCATCTGACATCATCGCATACCCGATGTTACTACCATACACTGGTGATATTGTGCGTACAGCCATTGTCAATGGTCGCAAACCTACGCATGTCATATGCACGGGACGGCTAGAATTCGCATCCATACAACAGTGTTACGCCAATACTAATGTTGTTGATCCTGCCCTTAGACGCGAACGAAATGTCGAGACGACGCCACAAGTGCCTCAGTTTGGAAAAAGCCGACTGGGCTTTCGTGGTGCGAAGCGATACCTCCACTCTAATAGTGCCACCTACAGAAATGCATTTCCTAAGGTGGACAAAACTATCCGCGTGTTCGACCTGTATGCCTTCGATGGTGAGCTGTTGAATGGGGGCAAAACACGTACCATACCTAGACGCTTCAACCAACAGTGCGGTATCATTAACGTAATGTAAGTCGATTGCGTGATCACCGGAAGGAGCTCGATGCCAAAACTCTGCTACCCTTTTAAACTTGCCAAGAGGACTTCCTCCATCTCAAAGTGAAAGTGAAACGAAGACATGGGTATCGTAGTCGCACACCACTGGTGACAGGGAAGTGTACAGTAAACATGCCGTAGGCTCTCATTTTGCCTGAATTATAGAGGTATAGTGCCCGAAGTATGGCGAACTGCTTTTCGTGAACTTCTTTCTTTATTAAACATCGCCTTAAATCTGGTCGGTCTGCTAAGTCAAATGAAGTCCGGATGTCCAGAAACGCAATAATGGCAGGTCTGCCGTAAAGATGACGATGTTCAAGGGGCTGACACAGTGTGCATATTTGATCCGCACATCTGGGGTGAAAACTAACTTGCTCCTCCGGGCAGTGTGTTTCACGCGTTGACGCTAGCCTGCGCAGCATGATTGGAGGCAGCCAACGTCAGACTGATCACTTTGTAATTCGGCATGTGATACAAGAACCTTTCTTAAAGATTGGGACGGTTACTGTGTATCCTTTCTTCTTGCCATAGCTTCAGGAATAGGGGGTGTTAGGTGATTGACAATCGCCGTACTTGAGCAGTTCTGGGGAAGTTCGTCTGAATCCGCAGCTTTAAGGCGCTTCAGGTGTCGGATCTCATGAGAAACGTCCGCTTCAGTGGGTGGTTCTAGTGACACCGCCCATGGCATGCGACCGGGTGCGCTGGATGCAAACGTGGCCGACGAGGAACAACTGTATTGCAGACGCTCCACCTATCTGTTCGTACGTCTGTGCAAGTTAGTGATTCGCGTCCCATCCGCCTCACAATGATACCAGACCTCCTGTTTCCAATGGTACGAATGGCTTGGAAGTTTGCGAGTATTTGCAGTAAGAGCGGCGGCCTCCGTATCCAAAGCGCTTTGAGATCGCCAATCTTCCCGATCGTCGCGAAGACTTCGTTTACTTTGCTGGCTGACATTGCGGTGAAGTCCATTTTGGTGTGAGTTTACTGGGAATTTTCAGCGGCAGTCGAACAGTGCCAAGGGGCGCACAGAGATCCAACCCCTCAAGGGGTGATAATTTAACCTATTGATTGATTTAACTAAATTTACTATTACATTCTGCAAGGAGTTCCAGTGGTGTTCAGTGTCAGTGGGTGGAACACGGGCTCATTTGTTTGTTAGTCACACTTGATAGTTTAGCTGAGCCTTTTCTTATAGCGTCTACGATACTTTCGCTTCGCGGCTCCTCCGAATCGCATGCAGATGTTCGCACAAACCAGTGCGTGATCTGAGCCAAAATGATCTACGGCCTTGTATACTGCCCAGTTGTCTGCTAGGCATCGCTCACTTCAATGGGATCAATACGAAAACACCTCCACATAGTGTTGCTTTCCGCATAGTACTTTTGTAGTGATACATTTTCTGGACTCTTTTATGGCTCATTTGGTTATCATTCAGCTCAGCCGTGGACTCCACTCATCGACATGGGATTCGATTCGATATATACGTAAGACGACACAATTTGAAACATCATATAGCGTATTACCTTGGTGTGACTATTACTGTACCCGCGTTTGCTTGGATTTCACGCTTGTTTGTACCCTCTGATATTGTTTCGCAATGAGCTTGGTACTCTTCATTACTTTCAAACTTTCACGTTTGTCGTTTGGTTCTCCATCCCTAGTTTACCTCTTTTTAGCACGGTTTTTGAATTGTCAAGGTGACCGTTCTGATGGCACTCCACACTGTGATCCTTATATATTTGCTCCTTTTCACTTCCTAAAATGTACTTCGTTTCTGAAATTTCTCCGTTTTTCTATCTCAGGTGAGGCAATCGACAGAAAAAAGCTTCGCTAAGGAGATTGAGAGGCATCGTTCGGAGATAGAACACCTTCGAGCGCAGCTTCAACAGATGCAGTATTTGCAAGCATCACTGGAAGAGCAAATCAAACTAAACCAGACAGAAGAAGCTAAAGTACGTGCCTTCTTTGCAATTTCATCCGTTTCAGTTGAGTTCAACTATGGTCCATGAAACAAGATGCGGTGGACCCTATTAGCTTAATATACCGCCAACTGACAATGTATCTAATAGTAATAATAATAATAATAATAATAATAATAATAATAATAATAATAATAGACATCAACAGCTCAACGGTACGTTGTGTCGACGTTTCGCAGCCACCACCAGTCTCCTGTGGGTTATGGATACAGCGAAGTCGCTCGCATTTGCGGAGGCTTACACTGGTGGTTGTTGCATTATAAGCCAGACGAGTGGACTACTCGGTCATCGGCATTCAATACTAACAATGCTGTCGACTCTATCGAAATGAGCAGCGACTTAAACCGAATTGCGGAAACGATCATAGGAGCGCAATGGATGTGGTGGTCGCACGTTATCCTCGAACCACTGGTGTGGCCGATCGTGGAAGACAAAATGAACTAACCTAATCCAACCATCTGGTGGGTTTTTTCATTGTGCTTCGCCATGTTATTGACTAGCCGCCTCGTGGCTTCCTCAAGGTGGATTCAGCATTGGTAAACTGATGCAGTCGGTAGGCAGTTAGCTTGGGCACCAGGCAGTCAGCTTAGACTATTCGCGCAAAATGTGCACTGCCGTGTGACATCGAAGGGTTTGTTTCTTAACACCATATGACGATCTTCCTTACGGCTCCGCAGCTGCACTGCAGCGTTGTGAGCCTCGACTAGTACACTCACATACCACATTTTCTACAAGGGAGCGAGTCTTTGAAAGGGCGCTTTAATCTCATCACGACATTCAGCAACCTCTTCGGTGATACGAACCAGGCAATTACCCCGCTAGACGAATTCTATTGGCTGTTCAATAATAGTGAGAACTGGTGCTGACTCGGTTCAGTCTAGTAGCATTACTTTGCACTTAGAAGCATGGTGCGAGCCTAAGCATGCAGCGCTACGCATCAGCCTGTTAAGCAGTCACGCTTGCATTCAGTGAGCCCCATGTCATGTTCTGGATTTGGCGTTTTACCGTGCAGTAATGCGTAGGCCCCAGGCGAAGATAATCTTTTACATGGTTGATTTCACTTCCCTGATGCAAATGCCATTGAAATTTCGAACTCCATACTGACATTCCTAGGACTATATGATGTCTATTGGAAACTTTCCCAAGAGTTCACCATAGCAACTGGAGTGCGTCGCAGTTGCCTTATCTCTTCCTCTTTAATTTTGTAGTTCCAGGTAATTTATTGTCTTTCTCCTGTTCCCCTACACTTCTCCGGATTAGAAGATATGCGGAGTAATCGACTATAAAACCTTGGGTACGCAAACGGTATTGCTCGACTTGCGGTGAACCCCGTAGCAGCGCAAGCGGTCTATGTCCCAACATCTTCCTTACACTTTCGGAGCACATATTAGTGTTTCGTGACTTGGCTATTATAACACGTATCCTCACTATCATCAAGTAGACAATAGACATGTTGAACCAGTCAAGTTACCTTAGCATTTGCATCACATTTGCTAATCAATGTCCCGGAAAAATGTCAACACTGTATTAAGCCATGTTTTTACACCGGTAAAGATCAGAACGTAAAACACTGCATTATCGTATGAACCGAAGGCGTTATCACTTCATGCTAAGGTGAGTATCACGTCAGTCGTTTTTGGGCACAGACACAGTATTACTTCGAGTGTTTACTGGGGCTACACCTTGTCGTTTGGAACAGCGCTTGGACTAGAGTAATCAGCTGTTTTCTGTAAGAAGCCCACTAGATTAAATAGTATTCGTATCAGTGTGCCGCGAAGGAACTCTGCATGTTTTCGCTAGTGACGTTCGGGTCAGCCTGCAAGCCCTAATTCACTACCGGCTTTGGCTTTTTGGTTGATACTTAAGCTCAACGCGTTCCTCCATGTCCGGGGACCATTAGGTCCATGTATATAATTTTATGAGTGCGGTTTCTCGGCACCACGATAAATGCATCGTTTCCATTGCTTGTGCAGTTTTCTTTACCAGCTACTTAAAGAGGTAGGTCATCACAAGGAACAGTGCGAACGTCCACGAGTTATAATGACATGACAGATCCTCAAGCACTCGAAATATGCTTGCTGTCACCTGGTGGAGTCTGGTCACAACGCAAGCCCGTGAGGCTACCACTTAGATTTAGCAACACAGTATAATCTTCTCTATGTCACCGTAACTGATACACTATAGCCCATGGTCCGACCGTTTATTTTGACATTACTTGTAGTTGTAGACCAACCAATTCAACGGTGGGAACAGTCATATTGGCGCCCGCTTAGCTACCTGATAACCGTCCCGATTGACCACTTTCGTCAAACCATTTACGACTTGTTCTATTCTCCGACAACTCCGTTACCCTACAATGCTTGAATTCACCCTATCTGAGCCCATCAATGTGTGACCGATGGATGATATCCTCTTATCAATATTTTCCATACGTATTATGCTCTCATTTTTTTCACAGCTCGACCAACGTATGCCATTGGTGGAGCGCTTTGGTCGTATACTCTCCGAGATATGTGAGATGCTTCGGAAGCCTGAGTAGAACACAAACCGCATCTACCCGATTTTCGCCCTGAGATTGATATTTTTTATTTTATACTACTGTCTACGATTGCGTTTGGATTATTTTTTATGATGCATTGTATACCTCGCAGCTTGTGACCATCATCATCATCAACATTAGTACATTAGCCACTTAAACGGATGCTTCGCTGCCGTACAACCACGGTGACCTACGGAACAAAGAATACTGGCAGGGAGAGAAGGAGGCTCAAACCTAGAACTTACTAACCCTACGCAAACATACAGGCTAAAGACGCTCATGTGTTGCCAAAAAATTACAGTCGGCGAAAGCTGAATATCGTACAATGATAAGGCGGCATCGGCAAGACAGCTTCCTTGCCGTTTTCCCTGCCTCATGTTATAATTAGCCATTACCCCGCAAATGACGGCACGAAACGCACTATAAACAGGCAATCCGACTAGGAGACGATAGCATACATGCCATCGGTGTCGACTACGAACCATGTCCTATAATCTCTTGAGCGAAGCACAAGGCGGGTCACGTCTACTCCAGCCTGGAAGGCTAGACGGACCGAGTTGCGTCGTCAGTTACTTCATTTCCCGCTGCTAAGTTAATTTTTGCCCACCTCGGGCCTCGTTCTGTGTTAGGTATTAATCACTAGTGATGGGCAGAGATCTCATCTGTCCCATTGAAAGACGCATTGTGAGTGTCACGTGTGACACGAGTGGATGCCATGGGGGCGCTGCTTGTCAGGTTTCCGCACTGCTATCCATGAAACCGACGACATTGCCTGTCGGTGTTTCAGTTTATGTCGCAAAACTAATTTCTCTGGAGCAGATTACTTATTCTCGGTTTGATAGGTATGGCAGGATAGAGTTTCGATAAGATAAGAGGTAGGAAAATATAAAACATTAAATTCCGACTATGTGGAAGAATTAAATATAGTATAGACCGGGATAGTATGTAAAGAATGGGAGGAATCGTTCAGAATCCAATATTGAATATTATGCGTGCATCGAAATGTTTGTTAATGTTAAGCGCGATAGCAGCATGAAACAAATTTTAGCGAATGGACGAGAAAAACAATCTTTGAGAAAGTTCGGGAACAGTATAACTACCGTTAAGTATTTGATTGCACTATTTTATTGGTCTACTTATAGTGTTGAAAGGTTTGAAAAAGTTGAAATGCTCTCGATTTACGCCCAAAATTTCAAAACGCTTTCTGTTCACCGCACTCTTAATTAAAGGTTTGTAATCGCAAGTATAGTTGCGATTACAAACCTTTAATTAAGAGTGCGGTGAACAGAAAGCGTTTTGAAATTTTGGGCGTAAATCGAGAGCATTTCAACTTTTTCAAACCTTTCAACACTTAAGTAGACCAATAAAATAGTGCAATCAAATACTTAACGGTAGAGGAAAGGGGATACTTTTGTCATCCGCATTATATAAGGGGATATGTGCAAGTGACTGCATTCTCTTGCGATGCAGAAACTAGAATGTTGCCGTGGCGGGGTCTTTATTCGCAGTACGCCATTTTTACTTTATTTACTACATACATCCGTTTTTCCCTGGAAAGCTCATGGATATTTTTTAACCCCTTTCCAAGCTCACTGCGACATCCGCCTCATAAATATAAGCGCTGAGATATCGCGCATCATCATTTTGGACACAAATTTTTCCGTAACTTGTAACAAGTTATACAGCAACCCTTTGTCAAAACTGCTCTATAGATTGGCTGTAAACCCCTCAGATCCAGTTCAGCATTAAATGATCATTGCTCTATCGAGTGAAAACAGTGCGCATTTGTGAACTTGCATTTTTTGGGTGCCCGTCTAATACCTTTACAGTTGCTAATATACACTGATGAAAATACATACATTTGTATACTTGAATCGTGTGTTACTTTGACTTGAAAGCACTTAGAAGGGTTAGAAAAGAGGAATTTGGAGGTTGATCAAGGTAATAATTTATCTACTTCTCTTTGGAGTTAAATTAGGCCCCGATTATCGCAGTTATGCAACCCGGGGTGATGGCTGCCCCGTATTTACACATGAGGTTCGATGAAGCAGGCGGAGGCGGAGGATAAACAGGGGAATAGGTAGCTCTCTACAAATCGCAACAGTTGGCTGGGAGGGCTTTCCATAGCATATCTGTGTGACCTGCTTGGGATTTGTGAAATATTCACAAATGGGCACTACTTTTAAACCGAATCTTGAGCGTTAATGATTTGCCAACGGTCCCAAAGGCGATAGTATGATCGAAAAACAGGAGCCATACATTCTTGTATCTATTGTCCAAAGCGAACGCGATGGAATGCACCAGATACGTAACGGCGTCCAATTTAAAGCACCCTGGTTTATTGGCAAACTGCGTTTCATCATCATTATGCTTGACTGTGAAAATACAGGGGACCACAGTTTTTTGCATTATCTTTAGCAGCTCGAAAATACGCGCAATTCTCCGAGACTTCCGAAATCTTTGTCTTACTCTGCCTGCTTTCCGAGTATCTGGGGGTGGTGCCAGTCGTTAAGTATCGATTCTAGGCCTCTGCCAGAAGTGTCTAAAATTTCTACATACTTTGAGCGACTGTTGTTAAGGCATTCGGTCCGCTCGCCTTGTTTCTTTTCAGCCCCGCGGGTTCATTGTATTAAGAGATAATAGATGGTATATGGCTGGACAACGCGCGACACATTCCGACTCAGTGATTTGATCAAGTAAATTCGGTGAGGTTGCATGAAATATATGAATAAACTTTGTTCCATGTGGTATTCAAACGAGTAGGTGGTACGTTGGGTATGAATGCATAAAAACAACTGATAAATCGGGAACAATAGCAATTACAGACATGGAAAAACGCAAAGTAGTATGGCCATCTTTGGGACGTAAGCGTCAATGGTCGTGTCGTACTTTTCAGGCACTCGGGTTGGACATAGTAACGTCAGAATGAATAAGGGGTTAACTATTAATTGATTGCATCACCGATAATAGGACAAGAATGAGCTATAACGTTAGTAAGGAGTGAGTGTCAAGACGCAAACGTGTATTTCCCCTTCACAGTAGCGTGCACTTCATTCAAAATGAAGGTTTGACATCAAGAATAGGAAGAACTCGCTTTCTACAAGTAAGGCTAAAATGTGCATACTCAGGAACTCTTACCTGACAGAGTACTCAAATATCTGGAACTGGCTACCTATTGGATTGCGGCTCTGTGAGTCTAAACTATCGTTCGGGAAGTGCTCACTGAGTTGCAAGTCAAAACTGCTGCGAAAGTGGAGTTCAGAGTGGAAGGAGTGTATGAAATGGGGTCGAAGCATAGAGGCACAGGGACAGTTTTGCATAATTATGTTTGCAAACTGTCTGAATAGTATCGTAAATGTTTCATCAAACGATTAAGCTTTGTCCACCCTAACATCACATCATCTCTCGTTCTGCCATGTAAGCCTGGCCGTTCCTTTGTCTACATTTGATGCGGACTGCTAAGAAAAATAGACTGCCAGTGTCAATTCTTGATTCTCTGCGGAGTCCATTTTTCCATATTACTTACTCTAAACTCGATGGCCTGGTGTTGTTGGAGGCCAGTTATTTAATTTTTCCTTTGTGGCTCTTATGTACAACCTGAAGCAGAATCCGTAGGATATATACAAGTCAAAATAAGCTTTATGCACCTGAATTGTGCTTTTTCCACTACCACTACGAATGGAAAAATACATGAGTTTTAATGGATAAATATAAATCAATTGTGCAATGCAAAATGTTTGCCTATCACTCAAGCTAACAACTGCTGATGGGTTTCGTTGATTCTGTATCTGTCTGGAGATTCCATTTTTTTGCTTTTATAAAATTCTAACTAAAATTGTTTACTCATTGTACACTTAGGCAACCGATGCGGATTGTTGAACTGCTTACTGAGTTCGATTGCTTGACCATTTTGCTTGGTGCTCGTTTCGAATGCAGCGCGCCATCACCTTGTGTACTGTCTTTTCCGTTTCCCTAGCTACTGGCGTTCAATGATGTCGTTTTTTATAACTACGCAAACATAGAACCTTTTGTTATACAAATAAAAGCAACCCTGCAAACGGCTCGGTCTTCTGGAATTGCTATCCGGGCTCCCGCTAAAAGTCCACGAGTACGGTAGTATAGAATGGTAGTGAGAAGCTGTACGAGAAAATGAGCCCGTATATGAAGCTTATAGAAAAACAAATAGCACTTTCGACAGAACTTCGTGCAGTGGATGCAAAGGGTCATTTGGAACTTTGAATGAAAGCTGGCACAAGCATCTATATGCTTGCTGACAATAAAATCAATGTGTACCTCTATACAGTCCACTACATCTAAAAATGAGGTCTTAAGTTCATACGAATTAAATTAAATCTTTTTTAGTAGCAAAGGACGATTTACTGAGGAACAGTAAAGCCAGAGCCTGAAAGCATGCAGACACGAATTTTAAGCAAAGCATTCTAACTTCAATGGTTAAAAACATAGTGAACTATTTCAGCGATGCGGGTAGGTCAAAACAGTTAAATAAAAGCCCCGATAGTTAATGTCCTGGATATGAGTTTTTCGCTCATTATCAGTGAGGTAATCGCTTTCGAAATCGCTTCCAGCTTAGCCCGAAGAAAAGAGAGTTACAGCACATCATTTAGAAACGTTTAGGATGAGCGACCAGGTCGAGGACCACAGCGCAAACTCATCCAGACCCTTCTGTTTCAACCGTCGGAGGTGTACATCCTATAACCACATCGTCTGCATACTTTATCCAATAAATTTGGGCGATATAGAGAGGTCTTCGATACACAGAGAATAATGGAGAGAGAGGAGCACTACTTGTAAAACACCACGATCGGAGCAGTGTCTGGAAGATTTTGTTCCGTAAGGCTACGGGAAGTGGGTACAGTTTGTGCGGTGGTCTATGATCCCGCTGAAGACATTTGTATTTACTCCACTTATGAGCAGCTGGTTGAGTGGGGTTGGTCTGTTGACGTTGCCAAATCATCTGAATAATCGAGAAACATTGGGCACACTGCTCTGTCATTTTCATCCGGTGCCGATGATACCGAATGCACAAGTTGCGGATTGGTTTATTAGCGTAACTGATATTCATCGTCTGCCTGGGTGCGCATGAAAATCCGAGGCACAAGTACTTTCTCAGACTTGCAACCACGCCGAGGTACCCGCAATCGGATGGCAACTTTGAGATTCCTTCTTTGGCACAGGTCTCTAATTGTCAGGGGTTGTGCCACTCATATGACAGTGGTTGAGTAGAGCGGTTAAGGGTATTGCAAGATAATCCGCCTACTCTATTGCGGCGAGTGGGGATAAAGCATCAGGTCCAGCAAATTGAGTAATCTTCCTATAAACATCTAGGCGACCAAGGGTGACTGCGAGACCAGTGTTGGGGAAAGAAGGGCAGCGAACACATGCCCTGTATGGAAGAACAAAATTTGGCATTGTGGCTGTCCACATCCACATTACCAAGACGCTTCAGGGAGCTTTTTCCACACAGCTGCTTTAAAAGCCTCCAAAAATCACGACAATCGTAATTATCTAACACAGTTTCAATGCGCAAACTATTCAGTTGCATTACCACTGATTTTATTACCAACCTCAGTCGTTTAAATTGGGCACACATTTTGAGTTTATATGCCCATTTTTTCGTCTAAGTTGCTTTAGTAGTGGTTAACTAAACCTGTTCATGCTTATGTAGATAGTTTCAGCGGGACAGCATAGGTCAAAGCAGAAGTTGGCATATTCGATGAGGCGTTCACCCTACAACAATAAGTTTTCGTCCGTGAAAAATGAACTCAGCATCGCACGGAATTTTGCAAGATTTTCTTTAGAGTAGTCGCAGTCTTTCAAATGGCATTTTTCCAAAAGACACGAGTTTGAGAAGGTTGATGTGTTCTCCTGGCTGGGGAATT